TCTGTTTAAAATATGGTATATCGAAGGTCATTTGCTTCTTTTCGACTCATGGGAAGTCGTAGCTTGAGAATAAAGGATTAATAGGGGCTGGGTTGTCTTCCCAAGGTTGATTATTCTAGTCTCTCGTGTAATTGGTCAATATGAGGAAACTAGTATGTCGAGGAAGCATCAGAAATGAATTAAATAAAATTAGATTCCGGATTCTGATTGATGATTTGGAACGTGACAATGGTCAGCGGTTTCAAGGCACAACAACTATTAGGTAACTGAATGTACTTTACGTAAAGTCCAAGCCTTAAGTGCACACCACTCTATCCTCCTAAACAAAACATATTCACACACTTGGAGAAGCTGATAATGAACATAGAACTAGAACGAACTTCACTTATTCCCACATATAGAGATGTTTACTAAACAGTTGTTGTAGCGACTGACATCTAAAATATTTACACTAATTGTTAGCATTCTTTCCTTAATTTAATTTAGAGACTTGAACGTTGATCTGGATACTTTCTCTCTTGTGTACGTCAAGGACTCTACATTCAACATGGATGTATACACACTCATAAAGAGGCACTTACTGAATGTTTTTTAACTAATAGAAATCATTTCAAAGGAAAAGGTTTCTACTTAAAATTATTTATGTAAGCTTTGGTTATATATATAGAAATGATATCTTCGATTACATCAACTAACTGTTGAAATATATTAGAAGAATTGAATAGTTACATGACTAGACTGAATCGACAGAGCACTAGACGGTCAAACATTATCGATACTTAAGCACTGTCCTTTTTCTACAGGTAAAGCTTTAGATTTGTTCCTTCATAATCTCTTTCTCTGCAAAACCTTTCTGTTCACTTATTGATCAATTCGGTTTATTAAATTTCTGATTCTCGTCGTGGTATTCTACAGTGAATAAACCTTCACTTGTACCAGTCTCCCGCGTTCTTTTTTCACTTCATGTCGTAGGATTGTGATGGTTCCTCGTCTTTAAATTAAAAGTAATATGTGAATCAGATATAACACTCACAAAGCTTAAAAATCTCAGTGATAACTAAGTCATCCATGATATTACTGTATATTTCTTCTTACTTACAATGTAAATAAATAAAAAATCTAGGGCTTAACCAATGAGTTCATAAGTTAATACGTCAGTTTGAATGTTATGTGGATTTAGTTTTATAGACAGTCCATAAACTATAATTCTGAATTATTGAAAGTTAGGACTGTCTTTAGCAAGGCATTTCAATTGACAAATTTTTATCTCCCAATAAAGTCATGTGTGTTTTAGCCGAAAACCATTCAGAATATATAGAGTGATTTAATGGAAACATAGAGTCAATCTGAAATAGATACACATATTCCAAACGCGACTGATCAATTTCAGTCCTTAACATCAACAAGAGGAAGACTTTAGCAACTCTTACAAATAAATTTAAACTCATACCGTTGTCAAGACAATGTCTACCTGGACTCAGTGTCTAAGTAGGCAACTCGTTGAGTTTCCGAAGTGTAAGATACTGGGTTCGAGTGTTGATGCAAACACTAACATCAGGATGCAAGTACATCTATCTGACGAGTCTCAAATGAAGCTAGAAGCACGTTTTAGATTTCTCTGCTAGCCACTATCCAACTGCACTTCAATAAATGTTTTGTTAACAAATTATTTATGGTGATAATTACTTGTTTACAATACTGAATGACAAAATCACGGTAATAAATATCAAAACAAACCACATGATTTACTAATAATTTATTGTACACTTGTTAGATGACACTGAAAATGTAAAACAGGATATCTACAGTTAGATCATTTTTTGTAGAATGGTTTGAATAATTTTTTCTGATTAGCGTTTTTTTAGCGAGTTGGTTTTCTACAGGATGGGGTCGCTAACCCCATGCCCAACCCTCCTCGGGTTGAGACCGGCAGTAGCCCCCACAGGAGCTACAGGTGGAGTTTTTTTGTAGAATGAGCGGCTGATAAATAAAAAATAATTCCTAACATTTTATTTTGGAATCCACCAGCCTCAATTCTAACTACACACAGTTATTCTCAATTGTTAGAATCGAATTCTAACAAGGTATCCAAGCAACGTAACTAAATAAGTAAATCTTTTCTAAAATATTAGATTTTATAGTTTGCTCATAAAAAATTTTTGTTTGCACTCTACAAATTCACTGATGCATAAATTCATGTATTCAAAAGTAGTTAAAAATGTATGACAACAACTAGAGGCCTTTTTGAATATCTGGGCTACCTTTTTCTGCCATCCTAATATCGCAATAAGTTACCTGTCTTTTATTTATTCTAACACATCATTATTCAGAAGTTGATCCTTGAATTGCTAACATCCAACTGGAAACCATTCAATATTAACCGTCAGGATCGATCAAGAAATAAGAAACGGAAACTGGCTGAGATACTTCGTGCTGAGAATTTTATATCTTACCAAAAATATAATATTGAACAAACCCACTAATAATAATAATAATAAATCTGCATGAACAAAGATGGATAGTGGCTAACAGTGGAATCCAGGACACTCGTTTCGTTCTATTTGAAACTCGTCAGCTGTATATACCTGCACCTCAGAGTTGATGTTCACTCTGAGACTCGAACCCAGTACCATTCGTTTCAAACGCCATCGGATTATCCACTCAGCTACTGAATCCTGATAGCCACTTGCTTGTGCCATGAGGTGCAGTTTAAATCCACTTAGTATTGTGTGTTTGAATCTTCCCATTGATGTTTAGCACTAAAATCGATCAATCTCTTATTGGCATATATGCATCCTATGCTTATTACCTCGCTATAGCCTTAATTCATAAGCATTAAAAGTGAATAATAATAAATCATCACTAGAATTATTAACGTTCAAAGTTCAATAAAATTCGTAGTATAAAAATTTTAAAAAAAATTGCACCCTATAAACTTCAGTTTTATTTTCAGCACAACTGAAGAAAAGGGTAAAAGAGTAAAGGGGGAGTTCATCAGATAAAATAAACTAGATTAAATGGATATGCTTACTAAAATGAATAAAAAAGAAATCTCTGTAAAAAATTTTAAGATTACTGATAATCCTTATGGGTATTCATTGATTAAGAATTAATGGTTACCATAGTTCATAACCTTAAGTTTTTATTACTAATAATAGTAATAATAAAGAATATCTTAACCACTCACCTCTTCTTTTTTTCTACCCTTTATATTAAATGGAGTATATATATGTATGATAGTCTTAATGTCAAATTATACATCATTCATAAAACCAAGGGAAGAAATGAAAGATGAAGTAATGATACCTAATTTGTTCATCTTCATCTTCACTCAAGCTTCCATTGAAGTTTGAACTGATATTAAATGGAAATATTTTGCACATGTATTTTCATAAATATACATATCTATATTTTTCTCTTTCAAATGATTGTTATATTTTAAGGAACTAGGTTACTTATAAATGGAAATTAGCATAAGTTTTAGTAAATTTAGATCGCGATTACCAGTGAGATCTAGAATGCTCGTTTAGTACTCATCAGTTGAATTTAACTGAATCTCAGTATTGATGTTCACAGAGAAATTCTAACCAAGTACCTCTGCTGTAAAGATTAGTAGGTTATCCACTGAGTTACGGAGTCGAGATAACCATTAGCATATGCAATGGGTATTAATTTAATGTATAAAGGTTTGTGTCTTCTGGTTGTTAATGTTAAGCAATCCAACTGATCTGTATACTATGCCATAAAAATGTATTGTATTTTAGAAGTTGAAGAAATTCTACTTATTTTTATTCAATTCAAATATTCATAATTTTTCTAATATCTTCATAGTTGAAATCATTAGTCAATTGAAGCTAGACCACTATGGAAAACCTGGAAGTACTGGACGGCCGTTTCGTCCTATTATGGGACTCCTCAGCAGTGCGCATCCTATTATCTATAAGCTTTTGTTTATTTCTGTTGTAGGCATTCTAGAATACATTTGATTACCCTGTGTTAAAGTACAGGTTTTTTGAAAAAATACCACAATATGACAAATAAAATGATGAGTAATAAGTTTAAGTCTTAGTGTGAAAATTAAAACTGGAATGAAGTTACACTCAGTCAAAAATTTGATTGCCCCCCCCCACTGAGATCAACTCCAGTTGTATTTAGGAATTTCCAGGTACTTGGGATAGAAGCTAAAGGAAGAGTTTCTACAGGGTTTTCTGAATATGATGTTTAAAATATCTTATTAATTTATCGCAAAATCTAATTAAAATAAGTTTGACAATTCACTCTCTGTAAACCATACTGATAGATAGACTCCAGAACATTCTAACTTTTTGCCTGTCGACTAACTATGACATCAGTAAGACTGGTTTATTTATCTAGACACACAAATATTGGTACAAAGGGGCACCAGATATATATGCGCCTCACAAATCTCATTTGATTTGTGTGAGGGCTGTGATACTTCCCAAGTGGTTTTCCTAGGGGGCTACAACCGGAGCCTTTGGCCTAAAGATCTGATCCACAAGGCAGTGGAACATCGTGAGAAGATGCAGTCACATGGTAGCCGGTGACCAACAATTGATTCATACTCCGTTTGTTCCCTCAAAATACTGGAGCCCATGTGCACCATTGGTTTGGAATCAGGGTCTTCCAATTCCCCTAGGTGGACACTCCACATCCACCAACCCGGTTAGAGCACCGGACATCCGCTTTTCGTCCTCTCAATGTCGCAAACAACAGTAATGCAACGAGAAGGTAGTGAGTAGGACTTCCCTGGTAGAGGCTATATATGCGTGGCCATGTGAGAGCATTTCGAGAGGGAGAGAGGACTCTCTCCACTCTCGGCCATACCAGGGCATTTGTGGGCGTGTAAAACAACGTCATCTCAATCAACCCTATTGTATTGAGATTATGCTTCCTCAGAAAAGAAACCTAACATTGATCGATCAGTATTCCTTCCCCTCCACCACCACCACCACCATAAACAAATAAACAAGAATCCCAGATCATACAAAATATACACTTTATTTGAATATCTATCTATACAATTATATAAAAGAGTAGATAATCAAATTTCTTTCTCAAAAAGAAGATATCTATTGATAACTAAACTATTTAAAACAATAATTAACGTCTTCACTTTTGAATTTAGCTCTGCTGAGGTGTATTCATTGTATTATCCTTAGAAACTCCACAATCAAATCACCATCCAAGACTGTCAGTTACTTTGAATGTAGTCTATAAGTTGTCAAATGCAGTTAAATAATAAGTATCTTCATTGATTACAATGCTTTGGGCTTCTTTTTTAAGTAAAGGATAAATATTATCCAAATACCATGTGAATGTATGACAATTTAATGAATTTGGAATAATTCTACGTGATCTTATATCTCCAGCTGGTATTATTTTAGATTCTGGTGATACTGTATAAAAATAAGATAGATATTCTTTAGCTAATGTTAAATTAGTATCATGTTGAAACCAAACTAATACAGTACGTTTATGATTACGTAATATAGTAAATTCTTTACCCATAGGAAATGTATATGGATGATTATTACGAAACATATGACCAACACGACTACATGGAATAATTTCAATTTGTCCATAACACATCCATGTTCTAAGTGATAATTCAATATTTTCACCACCCCATATATTCATTTCTTCATCATATCCACCATAATGGAAGAAATCATCTTTCCAAATAGCAAATAAACCACCAGCTAATGCTGGTGATTTTTGTGGATAAATTAAATGATATGGATCAGTTTTATTATATTTTATTGATAATGGTGTTACACCTTCATTAATATGATGCCATCGAAATATTAAATCCCATGAGAAACCTCCTAAATATAAATTATCTTCAATATTATCATAATCTGATTTGTATAATGTTGATAGGATAAGTGGACTGACAATAAAATGTTTTACAGGATCTATAATTGAATGTAAAAATATTTTTTTTTTAAATTAAGCGTTACTAGGAAAAAGTGATAAGTGTTTTGAATGAAAGCATTTTTTAATCCTTATGTTTAGAAATTAAAGTACCTATAAGAATTAATGATTATAATTGTCTCTTGAATGTTGTTAGAGGTATGAGGGCAGTTATCATTTCCCGGTTGCCCACACCGTGGAGGGGTTCTTCTAGAAGTACCTGAAAAGGAAATTGGATTAGAAGTGGTCTTAATGACCTGAGAGCGTGACCGCAGTGCCCAAGAGACAACTGCTTGAGGTTGGTCACACACAACCTTTTTGTGAGTAGTTTTTTGTGTGAGCTCCTTTCTTCAAAGGACCTAACCGCCGGAGACGGAAATCCGTGAGATAAAGCGAGGTGTGCATTTTTAGGGTCGACCTTTTCTAACCCCACCCCTCCTTGTGGGAAGGCAGCATCGCTGTTGTGCTGGTTGTCTGAAGAAAACACCTTACTGCTGTCACACCTCTGTACAGTCAGCAGTTCGACTTCGCCTTCAGACCTTGGGATTGCTGCTTTTAGTCTTACCACTCTTCAAACGACCTGTCTAGCATAGTAGGACCTTGAGGAACGATTGTTCCATCCAGTATAGCTCGATTGGTTCATCATGATAGGCGAGCCCGACCACCACGTCAAGGTAGCAGCAACGGTCAAGATTATAATTCTCTGCCCTTAGTACGCTTATTTTGTCATTAGACTAACGTCCTATGCTCTGAATAATCCACACTGTAACTGACAACGATTAATCTTGAGTTAAGAATGTTATAATCTAAACGCCTACTCATCAATGTCCATCTTTTCTTCCATCCCAGGTAGGGGTTTCTATAATCTTAAAGGAAATGATGACCCTCATGAAATTCCACCTCACATCACCCACATTCAAACTCTAAGATATCAGCACTAAGCTATTTAACAACTTTTGAAATAATGTCTTGTTGGTGAGTACTAGACAGATGAAAATCAAAGACCAAGATTTCTTGCAGACTGCTTTCATACCCATGTAATTGAAGGGAATACAGATATATTTTTTTATTTATTATCTTATAATCTTGATGTGATTGACTAATATCTAATTTATAGAAGGTATAGGAGAAGTTGGTTAAACTAATTATCACTACCTCATAACTACATGAAAGACAACTTAATTTAATTCTTACAAAGTTTAGTCATAAACCACGTTCTTGTTCATCATAACTTATTGAAACTTTCTGCATTGAAGATGCAAATTTTTATTAAGGTCATGATTAAATACTGGAACATTCATAGGGATATTTATTGATTTGTCAGTTCTGTTATATTATATCCAATGTGAAAGATGATCAGTTAACACTTGTGTTGATTCTAGTACGCAAATAGTACTTAAATTATCCAAGCCATAATAAAGTATGGATACTGTTTGTGGTTTTTTCTAACATAAAGAGACATTCTTAAAGACATACTGTAGAATATGTAAACATTCGTGTAGCAAAGTCTCCATCATTTGGATGAGAGAGGAAAACGAGGAAACATTGAACAGTTATACCGTTCTAGTAAATCAAAAACACCAGCCATATCTTGCGATTTGCGAAGCATGCAGTTTTAGTAAAATTGACCAAGATACTGGCATGTTGTTCGTGACTGCCGACAAAACTTCATGCTAGTTAATTTCCTAGAGATTTTTATCGGATAATCACTAGACTATCTGCACTAACCAGTCACTAAGTAATAAACAATATCAGTTTTTCTATTTCTTAGTCCGGACCAAGTTCTATAAAACACGTTCGCCATATAGCTACTATATCAGGTTGCTTTACATATCAGTAAAATGTTTGATTTTACGTACTAAATATGTTTGACAGGTGTATTTGGATTTGTGGTTCTTTTTATGTACTTGACACTAGGTTGTACATTAAAACCGGGGAGAAATGATTATCCTTCGACTCGAGTATCACAGTGGTAACATCTCTCATTGTTGTCATAAGTAATAAACTCTATATGAATATTAGTTCTCTTAAGATAGTATATATTCTCTGTTGATGAATTCCAACGAGCATGTAAACTAGATTCAAGACATCTTATCAACTGTCTTCAGTTATCTTACTTTGTAATGTTGTATACATTCGTTAGAATGTCTCGAAAATACTTTTTTAAAAGTGTTCCTTGACCTTGATAATTTAATTAAAAAACTTACAATAGGATTTTGTCACTATGCCCTTGTTATTATTACTATTATTATTTCAGTTTTCTTTCTTTCTTTGTTTTTTTTAACCGAAATCTAGATTTCTATTTAATTTCCATAACGATAATTGGTAGCGGCTAAAATATTTATAAGTTGGTTCCCTACAGAAAAAGGGTTTTTAAACTGATTGAAAGTCAACTAAATAAGCTAGAAAGTAAGTGGAAGTAAACAATGTGGAGAATGCTATGCTAGATAATAAATCAGTAATCCCACGGTAAGTCCAATGTGAGAACAAACTGTTTTTAAACAGATAAAATTGGTTGAATTTCATATGGTTTAAGCTTAAAATAAACCTTGGTATACGCTTTTGAACAACATTACAATGGCTGATTTGATATTAGCTCCGTGAACTGCCCAAACCAAATGTCTCACAATGAAGGAAGATATTAATCTGTCTTGCACTCTTATTCAACCAATGGAACTTATTCATTTTTGTAGCTACTTCAGCATGTGTTTGGCCGTCATTACGTGTTAATCTTATCCATCATAAGATGTTGTTAGTAGGTGACTGGAGGGGAGATGGAGTAAATCATGGATATAGACTATGTCCAGGTTGATAATAGGGAGCAAGACATAACTATAAACTCGACGAAATCAAAATTCCTGAAATTAGGACCTAAAACATACGATGTGTTACAATTAAAACTATTCAAGTTATTTTTCATAGTTGAAAGCGTGAGTCAATTGAAACCAGACCAACATGGAAAACCTGGGAACACTGGACGGCCGTTTCGTCCTATTATGGGACCCCTCGGCAGTGCGCATCCACGAACCTGCTCTCGCGAGATTCAAACCCAGGACCTAACAGCCTCGAGCCGAAGTCTTTAATCGATAGACCACTGAGCTGGCATCCAACGGTGTTAATGTCTAACTTCAACTGATCCACGAATTTGAGCAACCATTCACCAATTGTCTTCAGTGAGTTCCTATCTCACAACAGACGTGGTTTTGAATAGGACGAAACGGCCGTCCAGTGTTTCCAGGTTTTCCATGTTGGTCTAGCTTCAATTGACTCACGCTTTCAACTATGAAAAATACTAAATCTTCACAAAACCCCTTCTGATTATTCAAGTTATCTTTGCTCAATATTGATTGTCCCCAGTCATCAAACATTCGACGACGTATACCGAGACATCAAATAATTTAAAACAATGGTCACATTCAGTTTAATCAATATCCAAGACTAAAACAACTATTAGGTGAACAATTAACATAAACTTGATCTTTTTATAAACCTAGATTAAACGTCAGAACTGTATCTAACCCCGAAATTCGGCAAACTATTATTGACTATCCTCTTTTGGTGTATGTGCATTTTATGAGGGTTGTCTCGATACTGTCAATAAGTCACAAGCATTATAAGCAGATATGGATGGTGGTTAACAATGGAATCTAGAAAATTTTAATCGTCAATCGTTTGTAGTTTTATCAGGATACTTTTATGATAGCATTGCATTACAATATAACTGGTTGACTAAGCCATTTTTTCCTATTAAGTCTACATATTTTAAAACCTTTGGCTAATGATTTCTTCGGTGTCTCAGTATTCTTTAATGCCTAATTCCCCATCCTTAAACACTTATCTGAATCGGATTCACATAAAGTAATTTTGCGAATGAATAACTTTATATCTTCCCACAATATTGGGAGACTACCTATTATAGAGAAACTTTTGCACTGAAATTCCCTCAACGATCAAGCGATTTCAATGATTTGATTATTTTCGGTTGTGTTACTGTGTTTGGAAGAGGTCTGTGTAGTTAGCCTACAACTATTTAAGACTGGGTGATCCCAAAGAGTTGATCTTCTAAGCATTTTTTGAGATTTTTTCATCCAGCTTGCTTTATCGACTATTTATTACATTTTAATACAGGGTACTAATCCTCAGTTCTTCTGGAATCCCATTCTGTCTCACTTTGTCCTCACTAGTGTGAGAAAACACTTCCGAATGCATAGTAAGCAGGCATAATCAGTGAAGCTCAACAAACATGGGAATGAGATAAACATCACTGACATTTGGGGTCAAACAATATCGGAAAATGACTGAAGTTACGAATATGAACAGTGATATACGTACCTAATAATTTACAAGTAGCATAGTCACTGAGATTCCTGGTAGTCCTAGATTTAAAGCAAACCAAGTTCACAGGTTCACAGTGCTAAGAATTCAAGTACTGGAATTGAACAATCATCCAATTTCCCTAGGTTTTCAATGGTATTCCAAACGAAGTCAGTCCGTAATTTACTGTACTTCCAAATTAATGAACATTTAAATTACCAAGTAGACAATTGTGTGCAAATTCATTGGTATAAACGAATCTTGTTACTACCAATAACTAAAGATCTTTAGTCAAATCTCGCGTGAGGTCCTAGTTTTGAAATCTCAAAGTGGAACAAAATAGCTATAGGGTGTTCTATAGTATTCGATTTCTTATTTTATACCCGTCTGTGATGTAAACTGACTTTAAGCAATCTCTCACACCGAATGAATGAAAATAGTGCGCTCAAAGTCAATATTTCGAAATTTACAGTTTCTCATCTATTGCTATCCTCCAAAATTAGGACATATGGGAAATCAATTCAATAATCGGTTTGGGTTAAATTTTAATTGTAAACTATGAGAAGTAAACATTATCATGTGTTGAAGTCATTGTTTACGAAACAAGAAATGAACTTCTTTAACATAAAGTATAATGATATAATCAAATAGTAATCTTACATGGTAATTTTGAAGTACTTCTCTCGTTCTGTTGACTCTGTAGATTCCTTTGTTCATGTTTTTCTTGTTGATATTTCTTTCTTAAGCTTATCAATTGGACAACTAACGGTTCTAACCAATGTTCCAATGTTTCAACATGAGCATCAAGAAACACTAGTATCTCACCAGTAGCATTCCGTGCACCATTCATACGTGATTTAACTAAACCCTCTCGATTTTCATTTCGTATTACACGTATCTAGGTAAGTAAAATGTATATTTAAGAATTATATAACAAACTAACTTATTTATCATATACAAGTTGTACATAAATAAGTATACCACAGTAATTTGTGATTTCTTTTAAAAAGTAAATTTTTTCAATTTCATGGTTGAAAATATCTGTTCGTATATCTGCTTAGTTGTGCAAGTTCTGGTGGTAGTTTGAGTAGTGAAATTAATTTACGCTTAGTAAAAGTCATAAGAGCTCATGCTAATCTGAGCCGTCTTTGACCTATTTATGATGTTAGTCTATCTGTAAAAGACAGGGTCTACATTAAGTTAGTGAGAACAGTTTTTCTCTATGTTTGGGAAACCTGGCCTCTCTGAGTTGAGGGTGGTAAGCGGCTATTCGTGTTTAGATATCGTCTCCTCCGAAGGATTGCTGACATACAATGAAAACACCATATTAGTTATGTGAAGGTTTGGCAACATGTTTTCTGGCACAGAGACGATAATTCGGTTGATGTTACCATATTGAATCACATGTACTACGAATGCCATCCTCGCGAACTCCATATTTTGTATTAGTTGGAGACTCTGGAACTGGTTGGAAAATGTGGAAAGGTGATCAGTGTATGACATGGTGTCGTGCTATGAAGAAAAGCTATACAAGAATGGTATTGGTTCATCCTTTATGAATCTCTCGTTGCAGTTCTAGAGATAGTACAACTCGGTGGCTTGAGATGGTATCATATATGTCTCAGAATAGTGGTGAGTGAGTGACGTTTCTAACGTAGCTTTCTTTCACTTTCATCATAAAGGTAGAAGTAACTTCTCTAACTAATAGAATACTTCTCGATTGTGTTTTTCTTAACTGAAGTGCTTTTACTATTATTATTATTATTATTATTATTATTATTATTATTATTGCTTCACTTTCGAACATTAATTTCCACACAGTTTTCTTCTTTTTTCTATTACAGTCACCTACTTTTCTCCATCTTTTCACAACTTCATTTTACTGTGCAGTGCATATATATTTTGGAGCCCCCTACACAAATGTTTATGGGTTTAAATAAACAAATTGCTCTATGTTGACAATGAAGAATGATTCTTTGTAAACAGAAATTGGGTAAACGGTAATAGTCAAGTCTCAATACTGTACGTATTTGATATATTAAATGAAAAGATTTGGTTCCATCGTCTTAAAAGTAGAACTAAAATATTGTTAGAGTTTTAAGCTTGAAAGTAGTATAATTAAAATTATAATTTGCAATATGAATAGTCACTATTCTATTCAGCTAACAAACTAAACTATATACAACTGATGAATTCAGATCTACTCCTTTAAATTACAGCTTATTAATATAATGACAGGGATAATACACATTCATAATCTAGTACCTTACATAAACCTCACCGGGTAAGTAATAGTGAGGTTATACACAGGGTATTAGGGAATGATAGTAAGTCAGTTGATGAGGTCATGAATCTTCATTGACTGAGATGGTTAGGCCACATGTTACGTATGCCTAAACACCGATTACCACGACGCCTTATGCTGACTAGTATTGGCAATGGTTGGAAGAGAGTTAGGGGCGACCAAACCAAAACATGGCATCAATGCTTGAAGTCACTAACTTCTAATCTCAGCCATGTTGGTTGGTGCAGACTGCTCAGCTGGGGTCCGCACGACTATCGTAACCAATGGTTGGAGACTCTGGATGACACGGCTCAGAGTCTATCACAATGGTGTAGGTGTATACATTCTTTGTCTTCCCGTAATCTGAGATTAAAATTGCTACATATCCTTATATACAACCTTTCTTTTATATATTACCACCACTAAATTAACTTCTATGAATACGGTGTTCATCTTGTTGTGTTAATGAGGTATGGCAACTTGGACCGATGCACATATGTGCCTGGTCTTACGCTGTAGCTGACTGACTGACTTTACATAGATTACAAAAGACAATGATTTAAAAATCTAAAATCTACGAAAGAATTATAAAAAAATCCATTGACATATGTTTCAGTTATTTCTGAGTAATATGATATAACAACAGACACTGACAGCAACAAGCTACTGTGAGAGACAACAAAACAGATTCCAGTGGAGGAAGAAAGTAGAAAGAAGCGCTGGAAGTGGATAGGACACACTTTGGGGAAAGCACCAAACTGCGTCACAAAACAAGCCCTCACATGGAATCCTAAAGGCCAAAGGGAAAAGAGAAAGACCAAAGAACACACGACGCCGAGAAATGGAGACAGACATGAGAAGAATAAAAAAAATTGGATAAAACTAGAAAGGAAGGCCCAGTACAGAGTGGGTTGGAGAATGCTTATCGGCAGCCTATGCTCCATTTGGGAGTAACAGGCGTAAGTAAATAAGTAAGTATGATATAACGAAACATTAGATAAAACAATTACTAAGTTAATACTACCTTGAAATATATAAAACAATATGGTAAAAAAGACATTTTCTAATTTCTATATATTTTTTCATTTTCTTTTCATTTATTTACCTAACAACTACCTATTTCACAATTGATTGATCACTGGGTGGTGATCAATGTCATGCGTGTCAAGTCCTTCTTAGTGCTGATCGAATGCACGCAGTTTCGAGTCACTTAGACTAGTGGCCACAATGCAACTTGATCGATAGCATGTTTCTATAGAAATAGATTAATATTATTTCAGTTGAAGGAATAGACATAGAAACAAAACAAGAGAAGATAATTTTAATTTTTTTTGTAAAAGTAATATGGTTACAATTTCAGTTGAACATCTACTAGAATACTAAATGATTAATGAAGTTTAGTCTGAACTCTTGGGATTTTGAAATTTTACTTAATAGTCAATTGTAATGTCTTGATAAAATGGTATCATTGATTCAGATTTAATTTCAAACCTTTTTATTTATCACTATTAGGACTATTGGTGAATTTGTTTGTTAGACTGTTAAGTTAACTATCACTACACGTTCTGTCAGAAAAGTGGGAATTTTTATTCATTTCAGTTTTTCAGTTTGTGTTCATAATTGATTGATCATTGGGTGGTGGTCAGTGTCATATATGTCAGGTCCTTCTTAGTGTAGATTGAATTCTATTGACCAAGTAGCAATTTGGTCGCTAGTCTAGGTGACTTGACATTGCGAGCACTATGTTGAAATAAGATGGTGGTTGGAGTTATCCAAATTGAAATCCTGGACCCAGGGAGGATCAGTTTCCTGAAGATTACAAGTACACCTTGCAGACGAGTGTCAAGTAGCACGAAATCCGGGTCCAGGGTTTCCTGTTAACCACCTTCAACCACCAACTACTTATTTAGTCAAATCATAAACTTGGTAGTATCTAAAAGCAAACTTTCAATTTATAGTTACTTAATCAATAATTAGATGAATTAAGTCAGTTCAAACTATAACTTTAGAAAAAGACATCTTTGAAGTTATGTGAGAAATAGATATGATGTTTAATTTAAATCTATTCTTTAATATAATTACTGAAACTTTAGAAGCCATTTTCAATATATCACTTGATTATAATAATCATCTCACAGATATTTGTCTAGAGAATCTTGTTTATGGTTAGATACTACTAATAAAAGACATTACAAAAACTATATGCATCAGTAGTAAGCGTGAAATAGTTTTTTTTGGTAATCTAAATAATATAATCTCAACTATAGCTGATAGCTTGAAATGACTGTACGGCTTATTTGTTGACTCAAACTAAACACCCTATATCATTCAGAACACTTTTACTTTGAGATCCTACTATGTTTGTCTGGTTAGTTGTAAAGGGATGTAATGTCAGAGCCCCAGATCATGTTACTGTCTATATCAAACTGTAGGGACAGTAAAACATTTCCTTGAATAACCTATATCTCTGCTAATGCTATCTTCCATCAATCAGAAGATTGTTCATAAATAAGAATATATTACTATCTCTTAATCCTGAAAATTATTAATACAGAGTAACAAAATTCACTCATAGAAAGGTAGAGTGTGACTAGTGTTAACCAAATTTCCCTTGAAATATCCGATCATGTTATACAGGTGACATTACCATTATTACTAATTCACTTTCGTTTTCATATCTCATATGGAAAAATATTTTTTTATTGATGTAAGCAGACTTGAAATGTCAATTGCTCTCATATTTGTAACATTTAGTCATCAATTAAAACAAAGCTTTTACCATTTAAATTCAATGCCATAATCCTACTAATCATTAAACAATTTCAGAAACAAATGAAAAACTTTTGGAAATATGATCTTCAAATGCACGTAACCGCATCCCTGTCCTGATACTCACAGTAAAACTCACACCAAGTGTCTTTTTCTTCAAACACCAAAGCAATGTTCACTGAGCAACCCAGCTGAAACAGAATGATTTTATCAAGATAGTCCTTATAGGATGCCCGTATGCTAACTCAGTCATGGATATAAACAATAGGATAATTTATACTTTTGTATGCGAAGAATAAAGGAATGGTAACTTTCAGGATTACTATTATATATATATATATATATATATATATTGTTATATAGTTATTAATAAACTAGATTAGATATAAATACCTTTTATCATGAGCATTCGATTAACCCATCAATAACTGCCGTATGATTCACTTCTATTAATCTGTTGCCAGTTAACTATTCACAGCCACTTTTGGCCTCATCTTGTTTAATTGCTACTTTTCATTTTGTGTTGTGATGTGGTCGGGTATGTCTGTATATTAGTGGCGTGTGCTTGAAGTATATTATTCGTACAATGGAGGCTGATTATTGTATTCTGTGGAAAAGGGCAAGGAGGAAAGCCACTGAATCTATGACCTATAAGAGCTTAGTGTTGAATCAAAGTTGTTAGTGTTGAATAGATTCCGATTGATGTTTAAATGACGTGAATTCGATCAGTGGCCGTAAGTCATAACATATACGATTACTAATAATGGTGTAACATCAAAGATTTTACTTTTCGATTTCAAAGAAATTGAACACTGGGTAGACCATTTGTAAAAGACTAATGAATA